CTGGCTGATAGCTCCTTCCCCAGGCACGTCTCTGGCCATTACATAAAATGGAAAAATCAAGGTTTGCTTTTTGGAATTTCTCTTTTTGGAATATTTTCAAACTGTGGATGTTTGAATCAGTGAATAAAAAAAATCTGTGGATATTGAGGGCTGACTGTAATTAAATGCAATAATAAGTATTTGAATGTTACATTTTTGAATGTTAAGTTTCAATATCTGTTCTACCGAGATAGCACACATAAGAATTTTTTGTTCTTGTTAGCTGCCCTCGAGCCGGTTCCGACTCATGGCGACCCTGTGGATGAGACATAAGAATGTGAACATAAGAATTACTGTATGGCATAATCAGTGTCATCAACACTGTTGAGCCAAACTATGATGCAGAGGTATTTTGAAATTAGGCCAAAGTCCACATGACTTGAGGCTGAGGCTAAGAGTAACAAGTTTTAAGGACAATTGCCTCAGACATGTAATTACTTTGAAAAGAGTACCAATTCTTTCAGTTTTGGGAAAGATCCACAAAGATAATTTAATAGCTTCCTGGCAAGGAGAAACTGCCTATGTTCTGGAGGTATGACTGAGATCATTCTAAGCTTCACTGCTGCTTTGGACATGGTGGGGAAAGAAACCGATCCTGATTGGCGGGGGTGGTGGTAGCATGGTTATTCCTCAAACTCCAAACATCCTGATGGGGCTGAGGGATCACTTATAGTGGTGATGGGCAAAGTGTGATTGACAGACTGCATGCTATCCCAGAAGCAGTTGTAGCAGCCCCCTTCCCCCTGGAATCCTCACAATCCTCAACTTCTTCCTTTTTAAAAAAACAAAATTGCCAAATGTGGGAAAGAGATATCTGACTGACCGTTTCGCTCTATTTTAAGTCTGTACATTTCCTCCATCAAAATGGTTTTGGAAGAAAAAGTTTATGAAAGCCTATTTCAAGTCTGAAAATGGGGTAAAACAGTCATATCTCTTGAGAGGCTTCAATTGTGAAATGTGTGTGTGTTACTGGTTATTTCCTAGTTAAAAACTCTGACAAAATTTACACACAGAAAATGGGGGTGCAACTCTTTGGTACCCTAGGGGACATGATGCAACCATCTACCATTAGAGGTTGCCAACCACTGACTTGTACACAATCTATGTTGACTCATAAGTCTCCCCCTTTTTCTCTCTCCAAAAAACGAGGTTCACTTCCAGAAAATCAGGGGTAGGGGTGCAGTTTTAATGTGATGTGAAATAAGGCAAGGGCTTTAGAAGTGCAACCGTAGAAATTTTTTTAACCTGTGCATGGCAAAAAAAAAAAAAAAAAAAATCACGAGCCAATGGTTAGTAAAATAATGTAACAATAATAAATATAATAAAACTTTATTTATACCACGCCTTTAGCCGAGGCTGTCAAGGCGGCTTACAGTTAAAAAGAATGTAGTTCACAAAACGTGCAAAGAGAAGTACTGTAGATGTAAGGCTAGCATAATTCAAATGTGCTTGTAAGTTATTTCATTTTTATATAAAAAAACAACTAGTAAGCTATTCAAACAGCATGATTCCTACTGTAACTTGAAACTGTAACTAAGCTACTTTATTTTCCTGCGTGTAAGACTACTTTTTAACCTGCAAAATCTGTGGTTAAAGTGGGGGGGTCGTCTTATACGCCGGGTATAAGGATAAGGAGGATAGAGGTGCTAAAACTCTATATTTTGACTGGGAAAATGGGGGGTCGTCTTATATGCCGGGTCGTCTTATACGCCGGAAAATACGGTATTATTTCATCAAGCTGCAGCAGAGAGAAAAAGAGATGGGAACCACCAGGACCATTCTTTCAGCTCTGCTAAGAAACCAGCTCCTTTTTATTCCTCTTCCTGAACTGTTTCCATTCCAGCTGGTCATTATAACACTAACTTTTAAGACCTAGAATTTGCCTCCTCCCTTTTTGTGTGTGTGTTGCATCTTTTGCATTGTCCTTAATCTATAAGCCACTTTAGAAGCTTGTTTTTTTTCTGTTGAAGATCAGGGCAAAGACATTTTACAGTTTCTGCAAAAATATATTCACTGTAAGTTAATTTTTAATAATTGACTACAACAGTACAACAAGCACCTCTTGAAAACTGAAGAATGTGCCCTCAAGTTGCCCATCAATGTGTGGTGACCCCATGAACTTCATAGGGTCTTCCTACAAAAGTAATACTCAGAGGTGGTTTGCTAGTGCCTTCATCTGAATACAGTCTACAGCAAATGGAAAGGAGACTATCTGAGAATATAAAGTACTAACCAGGCCTAATGATGCTTAGCTTCTGAGATCAGATAAGATATGGACACCCCCCCCATAAACTATTGAACTGTCAGTTAAAATAGGGGGAAGCCGCACTGATGGAAAAAAGAGGTCATTAGTCTCCTCAGACTCCAAACATCCTGATGGGGCTGAGGGATGGGTGATATGAATGCCTGGACTGTACAAAAATGGAACATAGTTCTGCTACTTCTTAATATTTGTTGATCTAGCCCAGTATTGTTTATTTCGACTGGCAGTGGCTCTCCAGGACAGTGGCGTCCTGTACCGGGTATCACCCCATGTGTGTGTGGGACTTCCGGTGCCGTTTCCAGGGCAGGGGGAACATCCTCACGCAGGGGTCCGGGCAGCACCCGTGTGGGGGGGGGAGGGAGCCAACCGGGTGACACCTGGTGCAGCCTGCGCACACGCACACACATATACACCTGTGATGCTACTGCTCCGGGGTCTTAGCAGTCCTTTTCTACATGTACTACCTGATGGATCCTCCAACTATGAGACATTGACATTTTATGAGCTCTAAGAAAGTTTAAAATATGTAATCATTACAGTAGCAGATGTGGCAAAGTTTGTTTTTGTTTTTTTTTAAAAAAGCAACAGAAAGGCCAAACTGTTACAATCAGCTTATTAGAATGAATTTGTCCCATGGTGGATTTTTTTTTACTCATTAGGGTGCTGCCAACACCCACTCCTTTCAGCAGAACAGTAGCATGGAAGCTATTTGTATGTTCATGGGACTGCTATTATATAACAATAGATCTGTGCAATGACTTGTTTAAAGTATTCAAAACTACATGCAACAAACTAAATCACTAGAATTAATCATTGCTCTATTATTCATTTTCTTAACTCAAACTGGATAGGATGTATATGTCTATATACAGATATTGACAGAGCAGAGGGGTTGGGATCACATGCAGCTCATGGACACACTTTCCACACCCCTGGAATAATTAGCCTAGCACCTTTCATTGGACAAAAGGCAAAGAAAACTATTCATAAGAGAGAGGAACACAACATGAATAGACAAAGCCATAGTTTAGTTCTTGGAATACAAGAGTACAATTCTTGTCACCCATTCTTAAAAATGCAGTCAAGTGAGTATTATTATTATAAAAGGGGCAGAAAGAGGAAAGGAAATTTAATCTTATAGCACCCTCAAGACCAAGGGTAAGCAACCTAATGCCCGGGAGCTACCACCCGCCATGATAATTTTGATTATTGTTGTCATTACTTGTTCTTGGGGTTTTCTTGGCAAA